CTGTATGTGCGACTGAATTTTCTTGTTAGCTTTGTTTCAATTGCGCTGCTCTTTGTTCTCCCTTGGCCTGCCTAGCCTGGAATCACAAATGTCGAACCAGAAGACCTTGACCTGGAGCACTGGACATGCCGACACCTTCGCACCATTGGAACTGGAGCCCATTATGCACACTAGTCGTGGACTTATGAGGACTTGCTGTCAGAATGACTGCCTCTTTTTTCAATATGGCTCGGTTTGTGTGACCATGTAACCCCCAATTTACCATACGCCCAGCTTACTAACCCCCAAATGTAGGATCAAAGTTGACTCCCAATGCCAAGCTTTCACTTTCTTTTTATGGTGTTCAATTTTGGTAGTGGTGAGAACAGCACACTAACCTGACTTAGCGACTTCAGCTACCCCCAGTCATCCATGGCTTCGACTGCCCCTGCCATGTTTTCTTTTTCTCACACAGAACCATCGACGGACCTTATGAATGGTTCGTCATGGGGTGCAAATGCAGAAGGGCCACAGACCTTACATGATTACCCGGACAATGGATCATCGCACTCAGGAGATGCCGAGGAGTTTCTTTTCACATCTGGTCATAACTCACCTAGGGGACCAAGACTTGATCAGGCCCAACCTGCTGATGTGGCATGGACCGCCGCTCCCAAAGCAGTCATGTCCATCGCCTCCGGAGCCCAGGCTATGTCTCGAGCTAGCTCGAGCCGCTCCCACGTCTCTGCTGTCTCACAGTCGCAGATGTCTAATATGAGCGTTAGAGGTAATGCACAAGTTTTCCGGAGTGGACCTCAAGCTACTGGCTCCATGGCCGGAATGGATTCCTGTCTGTTGCTGGACTCAGATGCCCACGGTGTTCAATCCCAAATGTACCCCTGGCACGACTACTCTCTCGAAATGAACCTTGGCGCCGGCAACGTTGCTTTCCCCGTTCCCAACATGAACCCTCTCCATGTGGTTCCTTCACAGATGCACCTTGCCAATGATGCCATTCCGGATACGTCATCCCCCAGCAACTGGGACTGCTTTTCTAGCTCCATCTCCAGAACTTCCTCCCCTGCCACTATTGATGAAGCATGGCAATCTGCCCCTTTTAGCCCTGAAACCTCCCCCGAAACTTGCCCATCGCCCAGGTATGTTGTTTTCCAAGCTCTTGAGGACGAGCAATCTTCTTACCGGCTTGGTTTGTCTAGAGACAGAAAATTCCAAATCATGACGGAGCACGCCGTCTCCCAGATGGAGGATGCCTCCGCTCTTCCTCAAGCCTATACTGCCCGTCGACAGGGAAGTGAGGGAGAGTCTGCCAGAGATCATGCCTTGTACAAGAACGTTTCTCCCCGGGAAGACGGTCTCTTCCACTGCCCTTGGGAAGGCCAGCCAAACTGCAACCACAGGCCCGAGAAGCTTAAGTGCAACTATGAGTAAGTTTGATCAACCCCCCGTCTCATTCTTTTTCCCTTGCTCGGAAAAGCTAACACTCACTGCAGCAAGTTTGTTGACTCTCACTTGAAGCCTTACCGCTGCAAGGCTGAGGCTTGCGAGGGTGCCAGGTTTTCTTCCACTGCCTGCCTTCTTCGTCACGAGCGTGAAGCCCATGGTCTGCATGGCCACGGCGACAAGCCTTTCCTTTGCATGTATGAAGGTTGTGAGCGATCAATTCTTGGCAGCGGATTCCCGCGTCAGTGGAACCTTCGGGACCACATGAAGCGAGTTCACAATGATCACGGTAGCGCTGGTGCCTCCCCTACTGGGGCTGCCCAGCAGGCTACCAAGGGACGGAAGCGCAAGTCAGACGCTGAAGCCCAAGGCTCTCCTAGCCGCAAGGCCTCGATCAAGTCGATGCCGGCCCCAGAGCCCAAGCAGCCTCCTGTCAAGCCTCTTATTGAGCAGTGGCTGGAGCAGCGCAAGGCGTTGGAGGAGATTGTTCAGCGCATGGACAAGCCCGATGTCCAGGGCCTTCAGCACATTGCGGAGGCCCAGAAGCGTCTTGAGGTTATGATCAAGATGGCTACTGATGCGACCACCGTCACCCCCAAGACGGAGATGCAATCCGGTCGCCGACACTACTTTTAAGGTGTTGGATGCAAGTTGTCGGTCTTTCGTTTATATTCTTTTTTTTTCTATGTCTATATATAGGTATACATACACAGAACGGCCGCTCGCGTCTTCAAAAGACGCCGAGCTCACCGGGAAATGACTCCCAAGGGACGTCCCGCGAGTAACAGTCTCGCAAAGTGGGTTACGTCCATCACGGACTGCTAAGCCGAGCAGAATAGCATTGGCTATACGCACCACAAAATCACTCTCAGAGAAGGGCTGTTGGACCAGGGTTTTTCTTCATGTTACTTCAGTGTTTGATACGGAGATGGGTTTTTTTCTTCTTCTGGATGGATCAAAAGCATCATACTTGTTCTGGTTTGAACGTCAAAAGTATTGGGTTTGGAATGAAAGGGTAGGGAAAGGAAAGGATAAACAGCGTTTCATGTTCTATTTTGCTTTTTCATTTGTTTTGTCAATACCCACGATTTATGACCTTGTTTAGATTTTAGATGCTTCTTTTTTGAGCATGCACATTCGCTCAACCAGTTTCGACTGGCAGTTGTTTCCTTAGTTTAGCTTGTTTACTTTACATATGTTTCTATTGTTTTATGAATTTATGAATGAATATTGAGCAGGACTATTACTAGCAGAACCGACTTCCTCTACATCTTCCAGTTTTATGTGATAGAATTGAAGCGACCCGCCTCTGCTCTTCTCCCACCATACCTGCCCTTGAGGACTTTGCTTGCTACTGACCTTCTGGTTCGTCAAGACACCAATTAGGCATCAAGTCGATGCAGCTTATGTCTCATGCAGCTAATGACCGGATAAATGCCCTGCACGATGTTAAGTGTGTAGTGAATTCTAACGAGTTGACGCTTCCATCTATTGTCTGATGCTGTGTATAGAGGGATGTTGATTATGTGTTGTGTGCTAGGGTAGCCTGGACGGGGTATGGGAGTGAATTTATACGTGGAGAGAGGGAGGGAGGAAGAGAATGTAGATGGTGATATAAGTGTAAATTTAATTGTGCTTTCCGCTCAAACTCTATAGATATAAAGGCTATTGTTATGCTTTGCTCTCAAACTTAAGACTCATTTTTAAACTGTATGCGAGCTTGATTGAAGCCTGATAACTAGTATTTTCAAAGTATTATGAAGTACTGTTAATGCTTGATTGCTTCATCCCTCATTATGTTACGTACTTGTGCGGGTATTATGAAGTAGATGTGTACCACCTAGGTAGATCCTAGTAGATAGAGGAGCATATTGTGAGTCTAGTAATTATCTAATAAATTCCCCTGTACTTCAAGTCGGCAGATATTCATCAGCTATATGGCCACCAGACACACGATGCTCGCATTGCATCGACAAGTCGGGTAGAGCTGAGACAGCCGATGGTGGGGCCGAAGTCAGCCAACGAAGTCTGCCGGAATTCGGCGCATTTGCGGCATAAAGCTAACGGAAGTGGAAAGCTTCCATTCCTGATGCTCTGCTCGATTTACCCCTCCATCCAGCTGCGTTTTCCCATCTTCACCTAAACAACACCACGAGCTGCATCTCTTAGAATTGCTGTTTTGGCATTGAATATCTGCTTTATTTTTAGGACTATCGACCTCTAATACAGTCATCATGGCTCGCAAGTTCTTCGTCGGCGGCAACTTCAAGATGTGAGTGGTATTCTCGTTCTTTGTTCTTTTTTTCTTCTATTGTCGTACCATCTCCTCGCCCCTCTTCAAAACAACGCAGAGCTTGGGCATGGAGAATTGGAAGCAGAATGAAGCTAATTGATGCCTGACATCAGGAACGGGTCCATCTCGTCCATCAAGGAGATTGTCGAGAACCTGAACAAGGCTACTCTCGACCCCAATGTCGGCAAGTGCTCGCCCTCTCTCCCTCAGCAGAAGCTCTCAGCCTCAGTCAAGAAATCCCAGTCGTTCTAACCACCTTGTTCTTCTCGCTCTAGAGGTCGTCATCTCTCCTTCCTACCTGCATCTCCTCCTCGTCCGCGAGAACCTCCGCTCCGGCCTCGAAGTTGCCTCCCAGAACGTCTACGACAAGCCCAATGGCGCCTTCACCGGCGAAGTCTCCGTCTCGCAGCTCAAGGACAGCGGCATCAACTGGACCATCCTGGGCCACTCCGAGCGCCGCACCATCCTCCGCGAGAGCGACGAGGTTGTCGCCCTCAAGACCAAGTACGCCACCGAGAACGGCATTAGTGTGATCTGGTGCTGCGGAGAGTCCCTGGAGGAGCGTGAGGCCGGCAAGACTATCGATGTCGTCAGCGGACAGCTCGCCGCTCTCAAGGCCCAGATCTCTGACTGGTCTAAGATCGTCATCGCCTATGAGCCCATCTGGGCCATTGGCACTGGCAAGGTTGCCACCACTGAGCAAGCTCAGGAGGTCCACAAGGCCATCCGAGAGTGGCTCAAGACCAACGTTAGCGACAAGGTCGCTGACGAGACCCGTATCCTCTACGGCGGCAGCGTCAACGAGAAGAATTGCGGCGAGCTCAGCAAGCAGGCCGATATTGACGGCTTCCTCGTCGGCGGTGCTTCCCTCAAGCCTGCCTGTAAGTCGAAAAATCCCGACAAATCATCTAGCCTGCCTTTATGCTAACTTTTCTTAGTTGTCGACATCATCAACTGCCAGAAGCAGTAAATGGGTTCTCATACATAGGGAAAACAGAACTCGGTAGGAAAAGAAAATGCTGTGGAACTGTGGAAACAAAAAAAAAGCAATGAGGCTTCTGCATGGAGAATAGAAACCATAAAATATACCCAAGTCTCTCCATATGATCGGACTGATTTTACATCTGTGAAGGCATCGTTGCTCATATATAGCGTAGTGTCCTATAAAGCTCCAGCAACCCAATACCAGTGCTTCTCTATGCGGTTCATCCAAATACAAATACACGGACATCATACATAAAACCCATTATGGAAAATTCGCTCAAATTTATACAGCCATACCCTTGCCGTGGTACGGAGACCAGATACCTCTAACACTTGGCTTGGTGCTGAGAACGGCCTTGTTCGTCCGCCTCAGCTTCTCTCCGCTGGCATCTCTCAACAGTTCCACCTTTTGAAGAATCTCGTACGGCGAGAGGTTGCGCACGCAGATGGGCTTTGTCCGTCCGTTGATGTAGTGGCCGATGATGACGGGATGCTTGCCGGGTCGCGGGGAAACGGCAAACTCGATCTGTGGATTGGCGGTTGCGAACTTGGGGAGCAGTGACTTGATGAAACCGCTATAGATGTAGTTAGCAGATGTTTCCCAATTACCGCCTGGCATGATCAAATCGCCTACTTCATGCCCTTGGAGCTGCCCGCCCAGTCGCAGTAGTGGAGGTCCAGTTTCTTGCACTGAAGGACAAACGCCCCCAGGCCATTCTGGCGCTCGCTGTCAGTCTGCTGTCGCCAAGTAGGAATGTAAATGGACTGCGTACCTTGCCATCTGCAATGACTCGCAGCGCCTTGACTGTCATCTTGGATGTGGTGTGAATATTCCAGCCGGAATTCTCATGACCCAGCTCGCAACATGCTGAGCGCAGCTTCAAAAATCAAACAGTCCAGTTCGATACCCATCCTGATTGGGACTAGCCTCATCCGGCACAGCTCCGGCAAAACCACGTCCCAGGCATCGCCTGAGCTTCACGACAATTTATTGCTGCCAGAAGCGCGCGGCTTGTCTCGCACTCTCTCGCCGCAAGCAACCAGCCGCAGCAGGGCATCTCCATCTGTGAACGCCAGAGCCCGCGGCCTCCCCAGCGAGCGACGTCTGGATTTTGTGTACATCTCTGATTGACTGCAGCCACCGCGATTCGCCTGTTCCTTCGCCATGACCGACAAGCTCCCCCCTAACCTGTTGGCGCTCTTTGCCGCGCGACCGCCGCTGCGATGGGTAGAACCGTCTGACCATGCGCCAGAGAAGCGCAGGACAGCTCCCATTGGTGGCCTCGCCGCTTTTCTGCCCGAGCTGCAGAAGTACAAGGAGACGGATGTCTACCAGCCCACCGAGAGCTGGCTGGAGATGCGCGATCGGAAAAAGCGAGAGCAGAAGGAGGCTGCTGCAGCTTTGGTGACCGAGGGACCAAAACAATGTAAGGACGATGATGCCTCGACTGAGCGGACCTATCATCTCTTTTCTTTGTCGCGTGACTAACTTGAGCTGATAGTCAAACCCAACGAGGATCCCAATATCCGTGGTGATGCCTTCAAGACTCTCATTGTTGCCCGTCTCAGCTACGACGCTGACGAGCGTGATTTGGAAAGGGAGTTTGGACGGTTTGGTCCCATTGAACGTGTTCGTGTTCTCTCACCATCATGCGGTGCATCTGCTCTGCACATATACCGGACCCTAAAGCTGACTTGCTGCAACAGATTCGCATTATTGTTGATACCCATGCCCACGAGAAACCTAATAAGAAGAAGAAGCCACACAGGGGTTACGCATTTGTCGTTTTTGAGCGCGAGAAAGATATGAGAGGTAAACAAACTCCAACACCCCTCCATGCTATTTGACCATCCAATTCAATCCCGGTGGATATACCTCGAAGATGTGGCCCTCAAGCTTGCCCATCCGTAGAAGCATACCACGAGACGTTCACAAGGTCCTCAAGCTTGCCTGTCTCACTCTTGCCCGCTTCTTTTTTCTTTCTTCCAAACCGTGAATATCTTTTCTATGGTAAGAGTTGCTAACATTGGCGTCTGATGACGCAACGATGAGTAGCTGCCCTGGATGCTTGCGATGGTATTCGCATTAAAGACAGGCGCATCAAAGTGGACGTTGAACGTGGCAGGACTGCCAAGAATTGGCTGCCCCGCAGGTTAGGTGGCGGCCTGGGTGGCCGGGGCTATACTAGAGCAATGCCCTCTCGTCCTGGTGGCCCTGGAGGCCCTGGAGGCTTTGGAGGAGGAGGCGGCGGCGGCGGCGGCGGCTTCCGTGGAGGCTTCAAGGGAGGATTCGAGGGTGGCCGAGGTGGCCGAGGCGGTTTCCGTGGAGGCTTTGGCGGTGGCCGTGGAGGTTTCCGAGGAGGAGGTGACTTTGGCCCCCGAGGAGGTGACCGAAACGGCGGCTTTGGAGCCCCCAACGGAGCCCCATCCGGACCTGGAGGATTCGACCGACGAAATGGAGGTGACAGGGGCTTCCCCGGTGGTGGGTTTGAGTCTCGTGGCGGACGCTCATACGATGATAGATCTGGCGGTCACCGAGATGGCGGCGGTCGATATGGTGATCGTGATCGTGGCGACCGCGGTGACCGTGATCGAGAACGTGGTGACCGAGGAGGAGACCGAGGAGGAGACCGAGACCGCGAAGGACGTCGCACTGGCAGCAACATGGAACCCATTGGCCGCAGAGAAGGTGGGTATCGTGACAGGGACAGGGACTACGACCGCCCTCGCGATGATGACAGCCGGAAACGAGGATACGAAGGCGGTGGCTACGAAGATCCTCGGAAACTGCGTCGCTACTAGCGTCGCTACTAAGGCTGGAGCCCGTGCAAGTCGACTCAACTTTCGGCATTTGGTGGGTAAACTAATTGTTTTGACGAGTTTCCTTCGCATCCTTTCTTTCACCTCACAAGGGTAAGAAGCCTGCCGTCTTCCACCAGCACAATCTCAATCTCAGACCTAAGGATCGCCTCCCTCTCCACCTACCTTTACCATCGTACACTGTCTTCCTAAGCTAGTAGCCCATGAATCTTGGACCTATGGGTAGTAACTCCCCTTTGTCTTGTTTCCTGTGGCTGGAGACCATCACTATCAATAACTGTCAATACTGGACAGGAATTACTTAATATTAGGGACGAAGACGAGAAGTGTTCTTCTCGCAATGTATTATAGCACATTTGGCAGGGAAAACAGCTTGAAATTTCGGGGAGCTTCAGGTAAGGTCATAGGTAAGCTCTTGTGACCGACTGATTGCAAGTATGGAGGCAAATTTGCTTTCTTTTCTTTTGCGACAGGGGGAGTTTTTAAAGGACACTTAGCCAGCAAAAGAGTAAAAGAAGAAGAAAAAAAATAGGGGAAAAAAAGAGAATAGTTTATATGCCGTTTTGATGTGTATTTTGTATCAATGCGCGAGCGAGAGTTGTAGATAAAACTCTTGAAACAGCACTAACGAAAAGACTCTTGAGACGCAGAATTATTTTTTGCTTGATCATCATTGCAGGAGCATAAGCATGTATATATCATGTAAGTATGTCCTCCATCTTTTTGAAACCCTGTGAAGAACCTTGGAACGCCGAAATACCCAAACAACCCGTTGCTGGTATATGTTGTATGCGCACAGAACATTTCTACCAAAAACTACAACTTCCCCAACACTAGGCAGGTGCCTTAATCCTCCTCCTCGACGCCATCCATGGCGGCATGGTCAATCTCCGTTACCTCGTTGGCCGCAGCGCTCCAGTACCTATGAATCGTTAGATGACAATGCCGCCTGTAAAGAAAAGAGAAGCAGAAAAACTTACGCCAAAACCTTGACTCTAAACTCGCTCAGGCAGACATCAAAAAGCTTCAACAGCCTAGTCTGCCGTGAATCGAGCACCTCTCCCTCCCTGCAGATCACATAGCCCTCACCCTCACCGTTCTCTTCACCCAGAACGACCTTGCCCTTGACCATTCTCGTAGGAACACCCAGCCTCCGCAGCTCGGGCTCAATGGTGTGCTGCAGCGGGACATCGTTCTCCTTGGGCACCTCGCCGGCCGTGGCGTAGACGACGCCGGGAGGGATGGTGAAGGTGCGGGAGGCGGCGACGCCGGCGCGGGCAAAGTCCACGGGGGAGATGCTGTTGAGGTAGTCGAGGACGGTGTCCACGGGGCGGTTGGTCAGGAGGAGGCCGACGGTGCCAGTGATGTGCGGTGCGAGGCCCTCGATGCCGGGGACGATGGCTTCCTCGGCGGTTTGGCCGAGGGCCTTGGCCATGAGTTTTGTCTTGCCGAAGAAGAGTCTGGGGGTTTCCAAGCCAATTCGTTAGCTTATCATGAAATCACTGGGCATCATTCTTTTAAACTGGGTAGAGGTGAAAACGTACCGGCTGTCGGAGAGCTCGCGGCGCACATCCTTGAGGTAGTTGTTGCGCATGTTATCCACGTTGAAGACGATGCAGTGCTGGTACTCGGGGACCTGCTCGCGAATGTTCTGGAACAGCTGGTCCTTTTGCTCACGGGTCTTTTTGGCGACCTGGGTGAGGTGGACGACCTTTGCGCGCTTGGACTTGGGCATCTTGTCGGCTGGGGGAAAAAAAGGACGCTGCTGAAATGAAATAAACTAGAAATGCGGGTAATTGAAGAAGAAATGAACACGGTGAACCTGAGTAGAGGTAGGCGGGAAGCGAATTGGCGACTTGGGAGATTTGTTGCCAAAAATTTCGCCGACGTTGTGGTTTGGAGTTCTATTTTTTTTTTTTTTTGGCCCTTGAGATTTTTTGGCTGGCGATAAGATTGCAAGAAATTTTATCAAGGTGGACTAAGAAAAAATCCAGGTGTGCGGAAACACCCCGCATTGCTCACCGAGGATTTGACCAGGGACGGACCTGGGTGCGTGCAGTTGTTGTTTTCTAGGTGGTATCGATTACTGGGGGATTTTTGATGCAATTCAACCACTTATATCGGTATTCGCTGCTGTATGAAGTGGATATAAGAGAATTTATACATTGATAGTGCTGAGCGTTTATGATCGTATCTATACGTGGCATTGGCTTTGTTTGTATCCGTAGTTAGTTGCATTGGTTGACGCTCGAGTCTTTGTACTTTAGAAGACAAGAGCATTGGGTTACCAATCTCATGCCCCTTCAACAACAGCTTCAATTCAGAATTCTTCTCTTATATCTGACATGATACCATTAGCTAAACATCGTTTAACCTTCTCGTTCACCGGTCGTGAAGCGAACCCAAGACGATGCACTTTTGCTTGGCAAGCGCCCGCCTAGTCGCCCTTGGCTTTTTGCCTTCATCTCGCTCCGCATCCCGACTGAGACCTGCATGGTGGGACCAGGATGGCTGCGGACTATTGCAAGTCCTAGTATGACTGTCGTCCATGCCGTACGTAATACTGGGAGCTATGATGCGCCGTGTCTCATGCAAGGGGTTGCCAACAAAGCATTGAGAGGCTGAAATGTTTGGCTGTTACGTGTTGGCCTCCCAAGGCTATCCCGGCACGTTGCATTTTCCCATCTTGAAAGAAGCCATCCATTGCTCCTTTCAACCACAAAAAAACAGTAGCTGCCATCTCGCCACACTCTTCCCCAGCCTCCATCTAGACCAACAAAGACTTTTCAAAAACAAAAAAGAAGAAAAAGACAACGTAAGACGCACCCGTGCATGATGTGATGCGTCCACTAGCACGTAAATCTGTGAAAAGTTACCCCCCGCGATACTAATTCCGTTCCGATGGGCGACTTGCGCACGGGCCATGCGGCGTTAGGCGACTGACCCCAACCAAGTGCCTATTTTTTTCCTTCTCCCACGCACGAAACATCATAACGGCAACTTCAAAAGAAGCTCCGAATTCTTTTTCCCTCCTGCACCCGTGCAGCCCATCGCCTCTTCTCCCCCTTTTCTCCTTCCATCACCCACGGCCTCGCCGCCCCGAACAGAAATCACCACTTCGCCCGTGAGCTTCGCCAGCTTCTGCATCCATTGAACTCGCCCCCGGTTCAGCTCGCAATTCCCCTCCCAACTTGTGCATCGATTTGTTTGTCATCCCACAAGTGCCCGCAGCTCCTCCACTCGAATCGCCTCAAATTTCTTCCCCTCCTTGTCGATCATCGAACAATTGTTTCTCTTGGACTAGCATTCAGCTTGTGTGTCGAGACGGTCATTTTCTACTCGCTCATTCTTCTCTTTGTTCCTGGATTGCGTTGATACCCAACTTCGACGTGATCGCTGCCCCACGATAAACTTCAATTTCCCCACGCCGTTGGATCTCTCGAACATCACTTTTCTCTCTCTCTTTCTCTCTTTTTTTTTTGGCCCGGCTCTCTCCTCCAATCATGGCTACCAACGGATCATTCGACCAGCCCGCGGTCACGGCAGGTCCTGCTGATACGAGCGCTTCTGGAAACAATCTTTCCAAGGACGAGGTTGGCTGGTACTTTGTTGAGCAATACTACACCACTCTGAGCAAGTCGCCTGAAAAGCTGCATGTGAGTTCATGTCCGGTTCTCCCCGGTGACATCCTTGCGATACTAAGACGAATTTTTTACACAGCTGTTCTACGGTAAACGATCTCAATTTGTCTCTGGACTCGAGGCTGAGGTTGCCAACGTGTCTGTTGGTCGTCAGGTAATGGCTCTTTGTTTATTTTTTTTCTCCCACTCCACCCACTAAATAACCTAAGCTAATTACGCACCATGTAGCCGATCCAAGAGCGTATCAAGCAGCTCGACTTCCAAGACTGCAAAGTCCGAGTCTCCAATGTCGATTCCCAAGCTTCATTCGACAACATTGTCATCCAGGTCATCGGTGAAATCTCAAACAAGTCCGGAGAACCCAAGAAATTCGTGCAGACTTTTGTTCTCGCTCAGCAACCTTCTGGCTACTTTGTCCTCAATGACATCCTAAGGTACATCAGCGAAGATGAGGAGGAACAGCCTGCTGCTGAAGCCGAGCTAGAGGCCCCTGTTGCCGAGCCTGAAGTGGCTGCTCCAGAGGTCCCTGCTCCTGCCGAGCCCGAGTCCGTTGAGGAGGAGGCCAAGGTGGAAGCCGTCAACGCCGATGAGGTGGACCAGAAGCTCCAGGAGGCTTCCAAGGTCAACGGTACTGATGCTGAGGAACCCGTTGCCGCTGCTGAGGTCGCCGAGGCTGAGCCGGAGAAACCCGCCCCGATCGATGCTGAGACTGCCGCCAAGGAGGTCGCTGAAGAGGAGGCCAAGGAGGTTGCTGAGCTTCCCAAGGAGCCCAGTCCCACTCCCGCCAACAAGCCTGCTCCTCAACCTGAGGCTGCTCCTGCTAAGCCCGCCGCTCCTGCTAAGCCGATGACTTGGGCTAGCCGTGCCGCTGCCGCTGCCGGCCCGCGACCTGTTGTCCCTCTGCCCAAGACCGCCACTCCTCCCGCTGCCGAGCAGAACAAGGCTCCGGCTCCGGCTGCTGCCCCTGTGGCTGCCCAACCCGCTGCCGCTGCAGCCCCGGCTGCTGCTCCTTCTGCTACCTCTGCTCCTGCTGCTCCTGCTGCCGAGGCGGCCAAGGAGGCTTCTGGGTGGCAGACTGCCGGCGCCGACTCCAAGCGCCAAAACCGACCCCAGTCTATTTCTGCCAGTGCAGCCGAGAAGGAGGGCACAATGGGTTACGTCAAGTACGTCACGGAGAAGGTCCAAGATGCTGATCTTCGGAGCGCCTTGACCGCTTTTGGCGAGCTGACCTACTTCGACATCAACCGTGCTAAGGTGAGTTTATTTCCTCAAAACAACAATTGGACAAGCTAGAACAGACCTTACTAACTCACATGTGTTAAGAACTGTGCTTTTGTGGAGTACAAGACCGTTGAGGGCTATCAGGCCGCTCTGGCTGGCAAGAATCTTACCGTCAATGGTGAGAACATTGTTGTCGAGCCACGACGACCCAAGGCCGGCGCCTTCGCTGGCAACT